CTGCAAGGAGAGGCCAAGCCAATGACTTAAAAAAACTCCTTCTTTGTGTGTGTGTGTGTGTGTGTGTGTGTGTGTGTGTGTGTGTGTGTGTGTGTGTGTGTGTTGAGCTCCACCCTGTGTTTCAGAGCGTGCACATTAATGACAGGGAACCTCTATGTATTTGCCTATTATGTGGTTTTTCTACTATATAGTCATGGAGAACGCTTGTTCCTGATTGGTTGGTACATGTCCATTAGAATCTTATAGGGCCAGTGCAGACATTGTGCTGGACAGTTTAACCACTGGTCTAAATTAGTGCATAGGATGTATTAAACTGCATGTTACCATGGCAACAATATTCATGCTCTGTCACCACTGTTGAGTCTACGTCCGTGTCTGTGACCTCAGGACTCAGGCTCTGGGGATGGCTGAAATATGTCAACAACTCTTTGATGGGCTGTTATGAAAGCTTGTACAGACACTGTCTGGTTCTAGATCATGAAGCCTAAAGACTGATGATCTCCTGACTTTGACTGTAGTGCCACAGTGAGGTTGACCTCTGAGGTTTTTTTTTAGCTGTCTGAACAACTACTGGATGGACTGACACTGAAGTTGGTATCAACATCAATGTCCCTCAAATCTGTCAAAAACAGTTTATTGGAAACTGGCATCAAATCTGTGGTGAGATTCTTTCTTTAGTTTTTCTTTGATCAGATAGTTTCTGATTTAATCTGTTCAGTTGATTCTTGACCTTGGAAACAGCAGTTTGGCATAAAGATTTTCTTCATATCCGCATGGGGGTGTTGCTCGGTAGTCATGGAGACGGTTTAGTGCTTGTATCTCTGTTCATGGAGGGTCTGTGGTGCCAGATGTTCATGTCCTCTAGGGGCTTTCTCAGGTCATTAACTGACACATGGTCAATGTCCTTTGTGACCATCTTGATGTCTTGAAGAGGCTCCTTGCAAATTCTCTGATGCAGTATTCCCTGCATCATGTACCACTCCTGTCCTGTCTTTGGAGTGTGTGAGCAGAGATCTTAAGGTGTCGAATGGTTTGTGGTAAGTAACTCTGGCTGGATGTCCTGACAGCCCAGCTGTGCGTGGGAGTCCCACTGGCATGCGTCTGGTGCTGCCAGTAGAGTTGGCGCTGTGTGTCTAAAGTTGGTTTGAGATTTTTACTTTTTACTCTCTCTGTCTCTGATAACTCAGTATTATCACGTATTGACTTCCAATTTTTTGTGATGTTATGATAATCACGTCATATCGTTTTATAGAAGTTTGTCATCAGTTGCGAAATAGTGGAGCACAAGTCATTACACTTAGCATTAGTTTTGAGTATTTTATATGCAATGCATGCATATTGTAATAAATGCTGACATAGGAGAAATAGTTTTAACGTTATTATGGTTTTGATTTCATTGCACGGCTCAGGGTGGAGGAGCTGACATTCGTCACGGCCTGAGAAATTCTGCACAACTGTATGTGAAGGGTTGAACTAGTGAGAGAAGCTTGCCACAAGCTTTTTAGCCCACACACACACACACACACACACACACACACACACACACAGAGGTTGGTGTGCTCGTCTTAAGCGGGTTAAGATCCTGTTTAGGCAGCTGTCAAAGAGTCAGCAACTTGTCCCCAAAGATTCTTGGATGTAAGACACACACACACACACACACACACACACACAGAGGTTGGTGTGCTCGTCTTAAGCGGGTTAAGATCCTGTTTAGGCAGCTGTCAAAGAGTCAGCAACTTGTCCCCAAAGATTCTTGGATGTAAGACACACACACACACACACACACACACACACAGAGGTTGGTGTGCTCGTCTTAAGCGGGTTAAGATCCTGTTTAGGCAGCTGTCAAAGAGTCAGCAACTTGTCCCCAAAGATTCTTGGATGTAAGACACACACACACACACACACACACACACACAGAGGTTGGTGTGCTCGTCTTAAGCGGGTTAAGATCCTGTTTAGGCAGCTGTCAAAGAGTCAGCAACTTGTCCCCAAAGATTCTTGGATGTAAGACACACACACACACACACACACACACACACAGAGGTTGGTGTGCTCGTCTTAAGCGGGTTAAGATCCTGTTTAGGCAGCTGTCAAGGAGTCAGCAACTTGTCCCCAAAGATTCTTGGATGTAAGACACACACACACACACACACACACACACACACACATACACACACACACACACACACACACATGCAGCTGTTTACAGTGACATCATAACTTAAAGCAGCTTTGTGGAACCTATTTGTGTCAGTTCTCCTCTGTTGTGAAACTTTTAGGTCTTTCAGTTAATTTGTCCAACCCGCAGTCTTTTCCTTCTTTTCCTCCTCCCCTGTGATCCTGCCATCCGCCCCTCTAACACCTCCTTCTTCCAAATCTGCACCCTCCATATTATCCCTCCATCTGTTTTGCCTTTCATTGCTCTTTTTCCTTCTTCTCTCTCTCTATGACACACACACACACACACACACACATAGGAGAAGAATAAAAAAGTGAGATTCTGATGAATAACGGTGCAAAAAGAGAAGCTGCAAATACTGTGACTCTTCATTGCAGACTTTCACCTGTAGTCTCTGGAGGGGTCGATATAAAGAGATATTAAGATGTTAAAACATGAACATATAATAAATGTTACATGGGGAACGCCTGATTTTTACGTAGTCTATCCTAGAGGTTTCCAACGCTTTTCGCTTGTAATTCGTACAAATAAAGCAATGAACAACCTTACGGTCTTCGTGCAGTCATGGGCTGTGAGCAGTGATTTTTCCTTCTGATTTATCTCGTTAAGGACTTTAAGAGGCTTGAGGAGGTGAAAATATCCTGTATTTTACTCATTTGTAAAACTTCTAGAGGCCAAAGGAGGTTGATGAATTCAGTAAGGATTTAAGAGAGCTGAAGAGGTGAATGAAATCATTTAAGGATTTATATATAGAGAGGTTAAAGTGTCTAGTGTTCCACTTATTTTAAAGATGATAAAAGGTCCAGAGACATGAATGAATCCAGTATTTTTTTTTAATCTAAGATTTGAGAGGCTCAGGGAAGTGAAAGTATCCAGTATTCACCTTTTCAAAGGATTTTATAAAACCTATATCTCACTTTTGCAATATTTTAAAGGCATGAAGAGGTGAAAGTGTCAAGTATTTTACTTATTTTAATAAATATAACCTATAAGAGACTTTTTTCTCTATTCCCCTAATCAGCTGGTGATCCTCTCCTCTCCCCTCCTCCTCTTCTCAGTGGCAGACAGTACCAGGCACTGTGGGAGTGAGAGACACGTGCACGGTTATAAATTAAAACCAGTCGGTGCTAACACTTATGCTAATGCTAGCTCAGGCACACTGATCCACGTTGTCAGGAAACCAGCTATTGTGCAGAGACTTCACAGGGGAACGAAGGAAATATTTCTAACTTGTATTGTTCGCTAAAAACTAACACAACACGTCTCTAATATGATGTCAGTGTTTGACAGTAATCATGATCTAAGCTTTGAGGAAACTAATCTGGATTATCATCTGAGCTAGAATTATTCAAATCTGCTTAACAATCGTCTGTTTATCAAGCGCTGTCTAATTATATTGTATTAATAATTATTTTCTCGTTCATTCATTCACTTCTTTCTATATGTTTCTGTCGTTCCTACTTTCATTATTATATTTACTTTATCAGTAACTCAGTGTTTGTCGAGGGTTGCGGATGTACAAACTGTGGACCTTGGTGAACACACACACACACACACACACACCACACACTTGCAAAAACATTTGTGTACTTGATTGTATTGTATTAATTCTACATGTGTGGTGTTTCTTGTTTCTATGAATTTGTTTGTGTGATGTCAGAACACACTGTGCTCGCTCTCTGTGTGGCCTCTGTGTGTTTGTGTGTCTAAAGAAAGCACTGTGGCGTCAGACCTGCTCTCTATTGTACGAGTCGGGCATTTCCTGGTCAACAGGAGGAAGGGTGGGTGGGGGGGGGCTCATAGTCATACACAGGTGTGTGTGTGTGTGTGTGTGTTTTGTATGTGCTGTTTTTGGAAGGGAAAGAACACAGGAAAAACTGTGATAACTATTACAAAGAAGGCCTGTACACACACACACACACACACACACACACACACACGCACACATTTAATTTTTCTTTATTTCTGTCCTAATCAGAGCACTTTAATAAATTGACATATTTTGTTTTAAACATTTTAAATTCAGTTTTATTGTTTCTTGGGCGTCTTTTATGTAATTTTAGAGAAGACATCTTTCTTTTCTTAGCTTGTTTTCCTTCGAGCGACCCATCCACTCTCTTAACATCCTGCAGAAGGATGGATGAATAGTTGTGAATTAACTTTCTTGGCCAAAGGCTAATTTCTTTGCTTGAAAAATATGTATTAATTATTTGTTAGAAAACAAAAAACACACATTTCTTGTTACAAAACAGTAACGCACAGTGATTTCTTGGTTACTAACTGCAGAAACACACCATAACATAAAGGCCATTCTGTGAACAATTATGTAAAACTGTATAATCATATATGGTTTGTAATAGGGGCGATGCTTTTATACAGCACTTATTGACATGGCCTTAAGCAATGCACTGAACTGGAAACTGACCTAATGGACCTGCTTAAAATAAAAGCAGGCTGTGGTTGGTCACAGCTGTGGATGTATGGAAACGTGTAGCACGGTGTCGCTGGAGAGTGGCGCAGTAACGCCCCCTGATGGATATATGTGGTACATGCACCCACTCCACCTCACCTGTATCTCTTTCCTCAATGTTCTTTCATTTATCTTTCACTTGCAGGACGAAAAAAACAAAGGGCATCACTGATATTGAAAACTGCTCTTTAAAGCATCAGTTTTGATTAAAATTTAGCTGTGCAGAGAAAAGCAGTTGTTTTAACTGTAATTTTTATCATTGCTTGGACCAACAAAAGAGAAAAATCTTCAGATAAGGATTTCAGGACTTACCTCTTCTTACCTGTGGTCTTCTTTCTTTTTCTGCAGGTCGGTGTACGATGGGCAGGAACATGGCCTGTTCATGGAGAAGCTGGACGTTCGAATCAGGAACCATGACAGAGAGATCGAGAAGATGTGCAACCATCACTTCCAGGGGTTCGTGGACTCCATCACAGAGCTGCTCAAAGTACGAGGGGAGGCGCAGAAGCTGAAGGTAAGGAGAGATGGGGAGGAGTGTAAGAAACGAAACAAAAAGATGGAGAAAGGTCAAAGAGATTGATAAAAGTTAGGGACAAATGTGTGTTTGGAACTCAGTGTGTAAGAGGCTGAAGGTAAAAGTAGACTTGGGAAGATGATGCTTGATTTGTTCGTTGCTTTTCTCTCTCAGAGTCAGGTGACTGAGACCAACAGGCGTCTTCAGGATGATGGCAAAGTGGTAAGTTGACAGGTTCACAAACATCAATAGTCCAGGCAGGAATTTAGTTTCTGGGAACTTCTTTACTTCTTTCTTCACCTGCTTTGTTCTTCTTCTTCTTCTTCTTTTTCCTCTTTCAGCTCATCACATCCATGGAGGAGTTGAAACAGTGTCGAGTACAACAGAGAAACATCGCTACTACTATAGACAAACTGTCGCACTGCCTACCAGGTAACACACAACAATACACACCACACACAAACCCACAGTGTGCATAGTGTGTCCTCCTTTCCTGTGATGTCACTTAATAAACGTTTGAATGGAGAAAAATAACTCAGATCTTATATTTTAAGGTTTTAGGTTTCATTTTCAGAAGTGATGCACTGGGAAAACAAATTTGTTAATCTTTTGGAACTACAACTCCCTTCTTTACAACATTTACTTTTACCATGCTGTCATCTTCTCAGACACTTTTCTGCTCTTTTGCTTTGTTTCTTTTATTTCCATCAGTCCTGGAGATGTACAGCAGACTTCAGGAGCAGATGAGGGCCAAAAGGTATGTTACTGATTCTGTTTTTTTTCTGGTTTGAGACATCTTCATCATTGTCTTCCACTGGACTTTTTCCTAAATTTACAGACTTTTAGTTCGAATGTTAAAAACTTGGGTTTGTGGAGGCCATTTTCTGCTGATAAAATTGCTAATAAAACATTGTACAATAACCAAATTTCGAGTAGTTTATATGATTTCCTGTAAGAACTCAAATCTGGATATCAGGGCTTTGCATGGTCATGTGCTGGGGTTGGGTTTGTAGTCAGTCGATCAACAGGTGAAGGAGGGGGCCTTGGGGTGCTGACACTTGGCTGTGACAACTGGCTCTTGGGGTGTTGAATGGTGGGGAGAAGCTGTTGCATTGGCTCTGGACAGGGGTTAGGCGATATGTCAAATTAATTAGATTAATTTGAGTTTTTGTTTTTGAGTAACGTGAAAAATTGAACTAAATCACAAAATTGAGATTAGTGCTTCCTCTGCTGTCACTCAAGCAGCAGCGCCTCACAACAGTATGGAAATAGTTTGGTCCTGTGAGGTCTGACTTGGAACACACCACCGTGCTGTGTGAAGTTTGTACAAAGTCCACAGCATTTCCAATACACAGGCTCCTCTTGGGCGGCCCGACCTGTCCAAGAACATAAAATCACTCAGTTTTGGTAAATCTGCCATGAGAACCTTATTTCACTCTTTTCAGATGAACTCATTTTTGTCCACATGGGAGGAACTAAAACTTGTAACTGTGATCTCCTTTGTTTAAGGTTATTATCTTGAGATATCACAGACAGTCTGATGAATATATACTGACATTTAAACATGCTTTCCATACTGCATCTCCTGTAATACACATTTGAATATTAATCCCATTAGTAAATGGTCCAGTTTGATCATGTTGACTGTTGATTCTTAACTTTCAGCCACTAGATGGAGCCAGAGCTCTTGGAATAGAAATACAAATTGCTTCTCTCCATCTCTCTCCTTCCCTCTCTGCCCTCGGCCTGACCTGCAGACAGGAGTCTGGTTGGTCATAAATTTGTCGTTTGTTTGTGTGTTTTTCTACTTCTCTCTGTCCTGCGGCTGCTGCACTCGCAGAGAGCAGCGAGAGGTCAGCCAACAGCGATCGCTCCTAGAGAGAGAGAGAGTGTGTGTGAGAGATGCGGTGAAGTGAAGTGTTTGAGGGATATTGTATTGCCAGAGGTCCCTGAGGTGTATCTGAGTGTATTTATTTCTCTGTCTCTCTCTCTCTCTGTATGCTTGTGCTTGTAGATGTGTTTATCTCTGTGTGTTTTCTGCTCGCTTTTAGCCGTGCATCAGACAGCCAGGACAATGTTTTATTGTTGTGTGTCTGTTAGTTTTGCAAGTGTTTCTTCCCAGTCAGCCTGTCTTGGCCAGGACGCTTCTATAACACAGATTTTTCATCTCAATGACACATTTCCTGGTTAAATAAAAGTAAAAAACTTACAGGTTCTGTAGGAATCTGCACAAGTTTAATCCTTAAACATATGTTTGTGTGTGTGTGTGTGTGTGTGTGTGTGTGTGTGTGTGTGTGTGTGTTAGGTACTACCCAGCGCTGCGGACGTTGGAACAGCTGGAGCAGACGTGTCTTCCCCGGGCGGGTCAGTACCGCTTCTGCTCCATCATGGCAGAAAACATCCCCAAGCTGAGGACACAGATCCGGGACACAGCCATGACACAGCTGAGAGACTTCCTGGAGAGCATCCGGAAACACTCTGAGAAGATAGGAGAGACGGCCATCAAACAGGTACACAGTCGCACGTAAACACACATACAGAGACACGCAATCAACTGATAATATAGTTGATTGATACACTCTCAAACAGCAGACAACAGAGCTTTGTATTTAAGGGTTTGTATTAATGTGTCGATTGGTGGAGGTGAAGGTGGACGGATCTATGGACACGGTCCCACACACTCAAAACAGTTTCCCAGGTTTACTGAGGTCTCCTCGGGGCAGCTGTGGCTCAGGAGGTAGAGTGGCTCGTCCACTTATCAGAAGGTTGGTGGTTTGATCCCCGGCTCCTCCAGTCTGCATGTTGAAGTGTCCCTGGGCAAGATATTGAACCACAAATTGCCCCCAGTGTATCATCAGTTTGTGCATTTACCATTAACTGTCTTGCCAGATCCCGTATCCCATCACAGCTGACTAAAGTGATGGATTTTGCAACTTGTTATAAAACCAGACTAAAAGTCCAGCTAAGGCTGATGGGAATACTTTTTATTTTTTGCAAAAACCAAAACCATAAACCAAAGTTTTGGACAAATTTGAATTATGACCTGATGATTGAGCTCGACGAAAAGTCACTTAAAGATCTTAAAGTTCTTACAGTTCATCCTGTGGAGCCTGAGAACTTCTGAACAAAATTTCAAGCCAATCTGATATTTCGCAACAACAGAAATATCAGCCTGTTGGTGGGTAGAGAAAAACTTCAGTTCACCAATTTCAGCAGGATAAATGATCTGAGAACTGTGAATGTCTGTACGAAATGTGAAGGCAATCAATCCAAGTATTGCGTTGTTATCCCTTTAGCCACACCGCTAACATGGCTAAAAATAGATTCATAAGTGAAAACAGAAATGCAGCACACACTCGGTGTCTTTGTGCTCGTCATCCAAACTGTCAGCTTTGCCTCGTTCATGTTGTGTCACACTTTCTCGCTGGTGTGTCGCTGAAAGTGTTCAGTATTAATCATGATGCATTTGGACGAGGTTGAGAGGAACCACTGCAGCTTGAGCTGTGAGCTGACAAAGGTGAAATTTTACACATCCCTGCACAAGAAATCGTGTGTGTGTGTGTGTGTGTGTGTGTGAGACTACCTACTTTACCTGTGTGCGTTAACATCAGTGCACTTTTCTGTGTGTGTGTGTGTGTGATAAGGTGATAAGGACTGCGCAGTGTAACTGGCTTGTCTATCTGCCCTCACACCACAATTGGTTTTTGTTCTCCAACATATCTTTCTCTCTCTGTCTGTTAATCAGAAGCAGCTTCCCTGTGTGTGTGTGTGTGTGTGTGTGTGTGTGTGCGCGTGCGTGCGTGTGCGTGTGCGTATGTGTGTGTGTCTTGCTCTGTGGTTCCGCTGCCAGTAAACAAGCATGTAGGCGCTGCAGGAGACGCCGTGGCTTGTCAGTGAACGTGCACACACTGACACATGAACCCCCTCACAGTGCGCACACACACATGCAGAGACCCGGCTTTTCAGCACTTACCTCATTGTTTTTTTTTTGTTTTTTTTTTCTGTACTCCAAGGCCAAGGAAGTTATATATGAGTTTGTCTGTTTGTGTGTGTTTTTGTGTTCTCTTGTGGTGTCCATACCTCAAAGTGAGGCCTCTTGTTTATTTGTGTGCCTCCATTATTTGGGGAATGTTGTTCCTTGGGAATTGCAGGATGAGGGAGGGATGGGATGGGAATGAGGAAGGAGCGGTTGACGACAGACAGATGAGCGGATGGAGATTTGGAGAAAAGTGGCTGCACGGTTGTTTGTGTACTGAAGTCTAATCATGACTTCCTCTATTAATACTTGTAGACTTTGACATTCAGAAAAATAAATGCTGAATCATCAAACTGGCTCATAACGAAATGCCAAAACTAAATCTTAGGGAAATACTGAATCATTTCATTTCACTCTACAGTTGGACCATGGGTAGGAAGTAAATGTCAATGATATTAAGAAACTGTATATTATTACGTCAGTGGCCTTTTCAAATGAATTTATGTTGGCGAAGGATGTTCATTGCTGCATTTATTATTTGTTATGGTTGAATATACACTCACTACTACAGCCTCTGCAGTCACCACATCTCAACTTAGTAGAGCACCTGTGGGGTGAGGTGGCACGGCAGCATGACTGTAAAGTCAACCATGATTTCTCCATGAGCCAGTGCAAAGATTAGTTGATTTGTTGTCAAATTCCAGCCTCTCTCAGTTTTAGAGAGATGGTCGCAAGAAACAAACAATTTAAAGATGTCATTTTTCAGGAAATGGCTTTTTTTTTCTGTCGTTTTATGATTACTTGAGAATGAAAATAACAAATAATCATTGTACAGGTATACACCAGATAACAGCTTCTTTAACACATCATTTGGCGTTAGGGAGCAGATTTCAGCCCAAAAACCAACAATAATGGAATAAGATTTATGTGTTGGTTTGACCTCTAGATGTCACTAGAGGATCAGTTCTTACTCTTAATTGAAAACACTGCTGCTTCTGGTTGAGCAGTGAGAGAAACATAACCAGTGCAGGTCATAGGGGTCTCTGGATGATTTGATGAGTATGAAAGTGATATGAATCAGTAATCTATGACTTCCACAGTCACCATTGTCAACGCCATTGGGAGGTGTTGATATGGCACGGCGCTCTCTAAACACTACATCAGGGAATATGTTTTGGAAGAATGATCCCGTCCCTCCTTGTTGCATCTATGACGAGGAGGATATGTTGGCTCTTCCATTCATTTGTCACCCGTCTTTTGGTTAAGCATTATATTGTTTTACCGTAAACAGGGAGGCAAATTGAAACTATGGTGAGGCACGGTCACTAAGAAGTCCAGGAAATGTAGAAGAATTTCTCTACAGATGACCGACTTACGCAGCAGAAGCGCTCTCCACGTATCACTCCACAGCCACACGGTGGAAACCCTTCAGTGACCCCCTCAGGTGGGGGGTCCTCGGCCCGCAATTTGAGAATCACTGGTGTAGAAAATCCACTTGCAGTCACTGAAGAAGCTAACCGCTAACTCCTCTAACCACTAATTACGAGGGAGATTATGGAAACCCCAGTGGTCCAGCAGTCCTGATACTGATACTGGGATTATGTTGTTGTATCAAATGTTTGGCTCGGAGCGCTCGCGCTCAGTCGGAAACCTTGTAAGTGTGTGTGTGTGTGTGTGTGTGTGTGTGTGTGTGTGTGTGTGTGTGTGTATGAAGAAATTAGAAGTTCTTGTTTCTCTCCTTTCCTTTGTCCCTCATTCACCCTTTCTTTTTTCTGTCTCTCCATCTCCTTCTCTCTCAGACAGTGTGTCTCTCTGGTGTGCTCTGTTCCAAATTAGCTCTAACTCTCTGTACCCAGCCGTCGTTACAGCTCCCTCCACCAAGGATGTGAAAATAAATAGATCTGGGGAAAGAGGAGGAGGAGGAGGAGGAGGAGGGGATGGAGGGAGGAGATGGAGGAGAGCGAAGGGCTTACAATGGAGCTATTGTCTGCTGCCACATGCCCATAGAAGAAGAAGAAGGGGAGAAAGGGAGGATGAGGGGCAGAAGGGATGGGGGGAGGAAGATGCGTAAAGAAGACGAAAGTGAAGTGGGAGGAGAAGGAAACAGAAAAGAGGAGAGGTAAGATGAGGGAAGGAGATGGGAGAGAAGAGGACAACAGGGAGGAACAAGATGAAGAAAATGATGGTCAAAGCTAAGGAGAGAAAGGAGAGCGATTGGAAAGAGGGAAGAGGAGGAGGAACCGAGGTAGAAGAAACCACGAAGGAGTGGAGATACCATGTAATGAAAAGAGGAGGACAGGGAGGTAAAGACAAGGAAGATGAAGAGAGAAGAAGAAGACAAAGAAAGTGGATGATGAAGGAGAAAACAGAAAGGAGCAGGTGTGTGGAGGAAGAGAGGATAAGAAAGAGGAAATGAGGCCGTGTTCAGACATTAAGCTGAACCTGGATCATCGTCAGGTTTATGCACAAAAACAACTTGAACAGAAGAGAAGAACACAACGCTGTGACATTCTGGTGACCCCCCCATCCACCCATCCATCCATCCATCCATCCATCCATCCATCAGAGCCTCCTCCCCTCAAGGCCTTTGTGGTTCTCTGACGCTCCGTCATTATTACTACGATCTCTAGAATCTCTCGCTTACTTGAATATGAACCTGTTGAAACGACTAATGCCGTGTTTCATGAAAGGACAGTCTCAGGATAAAAAAAAAAAAGCCTTTCTGAAAAAGAGGAAGGAAGGAAGGACGGATGGAAACAGGGATGAGTGGAGGAGAAGCAGAGTGGGACAAGATACAGTAGAAGGATTAAACAAAAAAAAGGAAATAGAAGAAGAATCTTTAACCAGAATTGTCTCCAAATGTCTTTGTCATTCTTTCATGACTCTCCCGTCTTTTGTCGTTTCCCTCTTTCCCTCTTTCTCTGTCACATCACATTTCCCCTCTTTCTCTCAAGATGTCCGTCTCTGTCTTTCCACTCTTTCCATCTCCTCATCTTTCCAGCTACCTCCCTTCCTCCTTCCTTCTCCTCCTTTTCTTTTTTTTTTTTTCCAGTTTCTTTTATTAACGCTCAGCGAAGGATGAGTTCAGAGCTTCTGCTTCTTATTTGGTAGTTTTACACACACACACACACACACAGTCGCACACACACAGTCGCACACACTAATGGGAAACAGATTGTTGGGCTTGTGAAGTGGAAGAAGATTGATTACCTGTATCTAGTTACTGAACACACACATGCGTGCGCGTGCAGCTCGGGTGGCGGAGGGCACACGCTGGGTCGGTGTATTGAACCATCACAGGGAAAACTAAAATAGACTGTTATAGGTCGCTGTGTCAGTCACTCCGCTTGTGTGTGTGTTGTCTGCCGAATAATGCTCCACAGTTCACTGCCATCGGACACCATTATTTCTGGCTGGGGGTCGGACTGCCAAAAAGTGATCTATAGAAGGGATGTCCATGTCAGGTTTTTGCCCCTGATCTTGATCCGAGTTATTTGATATGAGTTAAATCTATTTTTATTTTTACTACATAATACAGCTGTGCAGTGTACTTTGAGTTCAGCTCTGACTGTTTTTTTAATAGTGATGCAAACGCCATACTTCTACCTTTTGTATCTCTAACAAAACAATAATATGTAAAATGCAAAACAAACCTCTTTTTAAATTAACCAAAATAAATAACTTCTCAAATGCATCAGTGTTTAAAATCTTAACACAAGACCAAATTTAAAAAGTCCCAAATTTTTCCAGATTTCTTGGTCAGTGAACGATTAAATAAGAGTAAAAATCCAACCTACAAATTCAACCCAAACTCTCAGTAGTTGACAGTTTTCAGCACTGGATGATACATTTTGTGCCAGAACTCCAACAGGACTGAGGTTTTACATCCAGACTTTCTCTTGAGCATCACACACAGAAATCTGTCCTCACCAGTATCACCATAACTCAGTCTGGCTGACACACAACTCCCTGTAGAACTAAAACTTGTTGTTCTTACACTTTGGAGGTGCTGATATGCAGATTCTGTTTCATCCAGCAGAGTTGTTCCCCACTGTTTCCAGTCTTTATGCTAATCTTTAAATTTAAACTAGCTTTATATTTAACGGACAGATGTTAGAGCGATGTATCTCACTCTCAGCGAGAAAGTCAGTTTCCTAAATCGTCAAATTATTCAAAACTTTTCCAAAAGTTGCTCCACTTATGTTGCTTTCTGTTGCACATTGTCACTGTGGATATGATGTTTTTGTCCCCTGTGGTACCCAGAAGTCTACAGGTTAAAATAAAGCATCAGTATTTATATCAGAGTTGCTTCGTTATGTTACAAAAACCTTGGTGTGTCAATAAATGTTTAAGAAGAGCTTACAGACATTAAACACTTCATGAAGTTTTGGCTCGTAACATCTTCTGAGATACAACAGATTGAGCTCATGAATGTTTTGTCACTTGTTGTTAGAAGGTTTGTTCAGATCTTTTATTTTTAATTAGTGGCTCGTTGTTTCAGGAAACAATTTGCAATTTATTTTTAGCATTAATTACTTTTGTAAGTAAAGACGTACGTTTCCCAGAAGTTCTTCTAAACTTCAGATCTACACTGTCACAGTTGTGACCTTCCCACAGTAAACAGCCTGTTTAAACCACTTGTCAACAAACAGATCACAGTAACTTTTTCTCTTTCACTTGCAATTTTTGTCATTTTCCAAGCTCACGCCGCAAACACACATAGAAGAGAACAAATCGCCTTCAAGTTTCTCAGCGGAGCCACACAGCACATATTTAACTCAGGGCTGCCTTGTGGTGTCACCACAGTGTAATGTCAGATCATTTTGAAAATAATTAGAGTCATTTTGTCCTAAATTGATTGTAGTCTGGCTCAGAATCTGGTCCTCATCCCCAGCAGTTTGTTCTCACTTCCCCGTGGGTAATTTTCATCCGTTGCCATCATCTTTTTCTCTTTTTTTTTTTCTCTCTCCTCCTACTCTTTTCTCATGTTTTTCTGTTGTTGTTGTTGTTGTTGTTTTTCGCCTTTTATCTAATAGTATCTGAATTTATTCCAAGTCCCAGCAGGATTTGTAGTTTAAAATGTCTTTGATAATAAATGATGTTAAAATCCTCGTCTTGACTCCTCATCCAGTCTTGCACTCTGACTCCTGATCCTCTCCGTCACCAGTTGTGCATGAGTTAGTCAGTCATTTCAATTACTACTTTTTAACTGCCTGTAATAATCAGGTGCCGTTCACCTGCCCTCACGACGTTCCTTCTCCTGAACTCGCCTTAAAGTAGTCACTGATTGGGATGTGATGTGTATGTAGGAAACCTCTTTAAGAAACTGGCCGTGGTTGGAAGCAAAAGAAACAATATTCAACTGTTTGAACAGCCATGAAATATCAGGGCGCCGGCGCCTGACGCCTTCCTGCTGGAGGGAACAAACAGACGCTCTTTGGAGGAAATTCCTTGAGGAAACTTGTGGCTCTTTTCTTCTTCTGTGCCTTTTATCGTTGCACCGTTCTGATTACGACACAGCGCCACCACCGTCCGTCGCTGTCAGAAATCTGTCGCCAACAGAAATCCACCGAATAAAATGTTGTTAGAAAATTTTTGTGGGGAACTGGAGGCAGCTCTTTCCTCATAAATGCAGGAAAAACCCTTCTCACTCTCCATCCACTTCTTTTTTTTTTTTTTTTTTTTTTTTTTTTCTTTTTCCCACGTTTTTTGCTGCTCTGCTCTCCCTCCTTTTCTTATGAGATTCTGTGACGCACATTCCCGCACTCGAGCTTTTCGAGTGCCACGGGGGAATGCCACCTCTGAGGAGGAACGCAACAAAAGACAGGGTTAAAAAGGTTTCTATTTGCAACAGAACTCGGTATTGTGCGCTGGCTGAAGACTGAATGGCGGTGTGAGTGCGTGTACAGTATGGCCGCAGATGCCTCGAGACACATGTACACTTGTTGAAGAACGGTGAAGAGCCACATACAAACGCCAAGTGGGATTATTTGACGTAGGCGCTGACGTCCGTGTGACGCCCGGCAGCGCCGCGCACCGTAGGAAAGATGCTGTTCTGTGTCATTTGCTCCTGCTCTCATGTCTGCCTTTCATAGGTTGCTTTCTTTTGAGGTCCAGTTATGTTAATTTGTATGTGGAAAGAAAGAAAATGACCATTTGAAAGATTAGAGAGGAATGCAAAAAGTGTCGCTGACAAAACAAGGCTCTTCTCGTTTCGGAGGTCTGTGCCATTTCCTTCTTTTTTTTTTTGCATGAAGTTTCTCATAGATTAGTCTCAGCGTTTTACCTCTTCTCAGTATTTTTGAAGAGTTGAGTTTTTAGAGATTGTTTGTTACAGATTTCTCTTTCCTCAAAAGAGTGGGCACAGCTTGGCAATTTCTGCCCCCCTCCCCCACTCGCTTCCTCCTCACCTTCTATGTAGAGGAATGAGACTTTCCACTGATTTTGTTTGTACTTATTGTCTGATATGACTCATTAGTCTTCTATGTGTGTGTATGTGTTTGTGTGTGTGTGTGCATATGTGTGTGTGGGCATTAGATCAAAGATGGCATTGTGTTCTTCCAGCATCACTGATATTGTGTTCTTCCGGGTTTGTGCATATCCACCCTCTTTAAGAACACCAGTTTTTCTCATTACCGTTGTCATTAACGACTGAAATCGAGGCGCTTGAAGCCTCTGACGTATTTATTGACGTCCTCATCGACAGATTTAAGCGCTCGAGGTAGACTACGTGCTGGCGCCGGCGAGCCAAGGAAACAGAAGCCTTCACAGATTTTTTAAGTCGGATCTGGGTGTGGATGGAAAGATGCACTGAGAGGGTTTCCCCGCCATAACAAGGTTTTCCCACAGAATTATGTTATGTGAAGGAGACGCGATGTGGGAATAGAGTTCGAAGAGTTAACAGCGTTTCATGAAAATCTCGAAGAAACACATTCGTATTCACGTATTAGCAGCTTTGTTAAAAAGACTGCAAAACAAAAAAAATATGGACAAATTATGGCGGCAAAAAACAACAAAACTTGACTTCAGGTATCTATGCAACAATAAACAAAGGATTCAGAAGTAGTCTTGGGCGTCTGGATACGGAACGTGACTCTGTTTTCATTTTGTTTTGGATACAAGCCTCCATTAATTTCTAACCAAAACTTCCTGCTCTCTGATTATTTTTATTTTTAGTATTCCTGATCCGACGCTGCCACAGAGGGAGAAATATACATCATTTCCCATGATACTCCTCAAATAGCGACATAGACAGGACACAGTTTGCATCAGACATTACATAGCACATTGCATTGTCCTGTGGAAAGTCTTTCCATTTCCTTCTGTCTTTGCCTCGCCTGTTTTCTGTCTGTGTTTTCTGGGAAACTTCACTGATAGGATCAATGCTATATTACCTGAATGTGTCCTACATATAAAGACATACCAAGCTTTTTAAAATTGGATTCATGTTTGAGATGAGGATTTATATTCAGTTCTCAATTTCAGCATTTAAAAAAAAAACAAAAAAACATTCAACTCCGATATTTATCTTAAATATGCACAAGTGCTACTAATGCAGCTAAACTTGGGTTAAGGTTTTGGAAAGCAGGAATATAGATCAAACAGGTAGGCTGCCCCCGTCTCCGCTTTCAAGTCCTCTGCACTAATTTTATGTGCTTTGTTTTTGGTTTCATTGACTCTTCATCCTTCCTGTTCTTCCCTTCCTGTCTTGCTCTTTTTCCCTCTGGTGTATTCTTAGGCGCTTTGGTAAATCACTTTTATAGACCATTTCCAAGGGTATTTTCATGGGACAAGGAGTGGCAGGTCTTCCTCAAAGGTCTCAACCTGTGACCTCATTGTACCAGATGTAATTTTCTAAGCTTTTCCCCGAAACTGTCCCAAAAAGAAGGGAATGGGATAAATCTGAGGAATTATTGCTCAGTGTCCATTAACGCGCTGTTTTCTTATGAGTGTTTGTGTCTGTGTGTCGCCTTTTGTCTGCTGCTGGTGTGTCTTTATTATGAAGGTGAAAAAGTTCCTCTTCCTCTGTGGCTTTTTTGAAAAGTGTTCTGGGAAATGTAGGAAGTGACTTTAGAAGAAAAACAGAGCAGGTTACAGGGGAGAATGACCCCCCCCCCACCCCAAACAAAGCTAAGCTCCAAGGGTTGAATTTGTATTTCTGTGTCGTGCTTCAGGCCCAGCTACAGCGCTCACTGGACAGCTCCGTCGCCACGCAGCCGAGGGCCCTGTTTGGCCGACGCGGCAGAAAGGAGGCGGCGGCGGCGGCGACGGGGACGGGAACCGACAGCGACGGACAGGGCGGCAGTCCAGTGTCGGAACAGGACTCTGGCATTCTGGATGTGGAGGATGAAGAGGAGGATGATGAAGTGAGGAAACCACAGTCACACATACAAACACATGAAAGTATTGAGTGCTTCCCTTAGCTGTCGCCATTGTTCTCTTCTTCTTTCTCTAGCTATTCTTTTCGTTTTGAGAAACCATGAACCAAGCCTTGCTTTGCTGCTACCTAACCTTTGCCGATCGATCGCAGTCGTCCTGACCGAACCTTCGTTAGGTTTCCCCTTCAGATGGTGGGATGGACGATTCTGCTTTAAGGCCTGATAATCTGCTAATGTGACCTCAGCTTTACTTCCTTCCTGTTGCTTTTTTCTTTATTGTTTCTCCATTTTTAGTCACTTTTCTTTGACCTCTCTCAAGTGCCCCTTCTTGCCCAAGGCTCGTCTTGTTGCTCCTTCTCTTTCCTTTCCTAGCTTTCCTTCCCTTTTTCTTCTTTTCCTTTTTTCCCCCTTTAATTCCCTTTCCATAGAAATCAGCCCCGCTCTCAAGGGTGCGTTCTTCTGTCCAGTAGTCAGATGTCATTAGGGTCGTCCCAGGTGAGGTTAGGAAAGTTTGTGGTGGATGACGTTATAGTGAATTTTAGGCCCATAGCGGCACGTAGTCCACGTCGGCCAGCTGAGCCCATTTCTGAAGTTTCAGCTCACGTTAAAGGAAGCAGTTCTGAGGCCAGAAGGAAGGGTCAGATATCCCATCAGTCCTCTTCTGTTGAGGTCAATGATGCGAACAGGAATGACCAATTTGCATCATAGCAAAGTTTCTGAAGCAGTAAGTAAGTAAGTACAGTGTCTTGCGGGGGGAATGACCACGACACCTTTCTCTTTTAAGTCTTATGTTTATAATTTACTCTAATTCTTGGAGTATATTCCGATCGACCTTTAGGAATTGACACTGCTTCAGTGTAAGATGGTCACACACTGTTCACGGACTGTTCAGAAGATCAACTTGTAGAAAATGGACACGCAGCATTGTGACATTGAACTCTTGGAGTCGTCCCTCGCGGGATCAGAGTTCCCTTGTAAGCCCTTGTTGTTCACACTCAAGGAAAGCAAAGTACAAAGAATCTGAAGAGAATAGAGCTGAACTTGTCACCCTCATGCTGCCATTCTGTTTTAAGGTCCCTGTCGTCCCTTTGGCTTATTTACGTCCTGTAACCTTAAGTCAACCTTCTTCACGGGAAGACCTTGGCTCGAACAAAGGCCTGACCCCCGCGGTCGGCAGGGTTACGACCGCGTTGGCGCCGATGGTTGGCATTGCCGCTGCCATCGGCGTCCCGTCTCCTCACGCCATCCTGCCCCTGCCATGTCTTTCCTTTTCTTCCCCTTCCCTTCATTTACAGTCGTCCCCCTGTGTCTCTGTATCCTATTTTTCTTTGCTCCCTTTGTTCTCCTATTCTTGTCCTTGGTCTTTGCCTATTTTTCCTTCTTGTCTTCTTCACCTTTTTCACCTTTTTTTCAGCTGTCTCTATCATCACTTCTCTCCCTTTTCCCGATCTTTCTTTTTTTTTCCCTCCATCTGTCCTTTTCTTCTTCTTCTCTCACTCTTGTTCCCACTTTTCCCTCTTGATCCTGTTTCACTGTCATTCATCTCCAGCCTGTCATCTAAACTTTAAACCATTCATACCTGCTTATATCTGTTTGCCCTCATTGTTTCGGGACTGTGTGTGCGCGCTTGTGTGTGTGTGTGTGTGTGTGTGTGTGTGCGCGCGCGTGTGTGTGTGTGTGTGTGTGTGTGTGTGCGCGCGCGTGTGTGTGTGTGTGTGTGTGTGTGTGTGCGCGCGCGTGTGTGTGTGTGTGTGTGTGTGTGTGTGCGCGCGCGTGTGTGTGTGTGTGTGTGTGTGTGTGTGTGTGCGGTTACATCAAAGCTGGCATTGTGTTGCCTCTCCAATGATTTTTACAGAAAGCAAACTTTCCAGAGGGCAAGAGGGCACATGGTTTTTTGCTTTGTGTTTCTGTGTGTGTGTGTGTGTGTGTGCTAAAATTGGTAAATTGCCACTGTGTTGTTCTCCGGAAGACAGAGGATGTGGGTAAGGCGAAAGGAATGGAATGAGGGATGGTGAAACGGAGAGATACTGTAGATGGAAAGAAAAAGAAAAAGCGGAATGAACGGCTGGTGACGCTGTCAGAAAACTTTCAGACAGAAGAATGAAGTGCTGCAGAATGATTTACTCCTCTCTCTCTCTCTCTCTCTCTCTCTCTCTCTCTCTTTGTGTCTATGTCTCTCTGTCAATTACAGCACAGTGGGCATTTGTAACATTTGTGATATTTATAAAACTTACGATGAAAGAGTTCAGATGTTTTTTATCCTCTGACATCTCCCCCCCGCCGCATCTCTGTCTAAATTCAGTTCAGTTCAGTGAAGCTTTAATGTTCAGATCGAGAAACGTGTTACCAGAGCATACGCACGGACGTGACTACGCAATAATGAAACGAGCAGCTAGTGATAAGAAGTAATATAAGAAATACTAAAACCACAAAAGCAAAGAAGAAGAATTTCACTGGTGCTCTAGACAAAACAGTAAAAATGCCGTGTAACAAGCAGCTCTTTAATCTCCTGCCAGTTCATTCATGAGTGAAGGACAAACAATTCAATACTAAACATTTTCTCATATTTTTGGGATTCTTTTAAGAAAACAGACTTTTGTCTCCACGTTTTCTTCTTTTCTTGCTTCTGTGCAGGAAACTCTTTTCTCTTCGTCTCCTTTTGAAATGAAAGTTTGAAGATTTGTACTTTGAGTCTGATTGTATACATGTTTGTGTTTTAGGTCCCAGGAGCTCATGACTTGGTGGATTTCTCTCCAGTTTACCGCTGTCTGCATATCTACACTGTGCTGGTGAGTCTTTTCTCCTTAAATCTCATCTGTATTAACTCTTCCTCCTCAGTGCTGTTTTTACCCTCTCATGAGCTCCGATCACAGTTTCCTCCTGTTGTAAACCACTGCTAATATCTCTGCCCCCGCCTTGCACAAAGATTCCTTATTAGGTAATGATAATATTTTGAGTTGCGTATCATGTATTGACTTGGTGGACCTCTTAATTAATGACATTAGTCCAGATGTTCTTTCTTGGAGTCTAAATTCAGAACTTTTGATTCTGTTTACTTTTTGTCAAAAAATTAGATCCAGCTATTGTCAAGCTGCTTTTTCTAAGGTCACTGAGTTTATTTTTTTATTTTTTATTTATTCAAATAGACAGTTTTAATCACAGTTTACTAGAATGAGAGAATATAGTACTTTTTCTGGAATTTGTTGCCAGGTAAAGTAAGAAGTTTTATTTTTGAGTGAGTGAGTTTTACACTTGAAGAATTTGAATGTTTATTGTGTGTCCTGTGAATCCAGTGGTGCCATGAACAAGTCTCACTCAATCATCGGCGATATATATCGAAGCTGTGGCCACCGAGGTAGAAAAGTAAAAAGCTTTCGATGGTTGAAAATGAATTGTGTCATCTCGTGCTGAACAGTAACTCATCGTATCACACAGGCCTGAGGGAGAATTACCACCCGGTTTATGTACAGAGAGGTATATGATGCTGCAAGATGAGGCCTCCGGCTCCAGCCTGGCTTCACTCCAGCCAGGCTGCTGTGTGTGTGTGTGTGTGTGTGTGTGTGTGTGTGTGTGTGTGTGTGTGTGTGTGTGTGTTTGTGAGAGAAAGAGGCAGAATGTGTGCGTGTCTCATATCAGAAAGAGCGAAAGCGACATGGGTGGAGGTGTTGACTGGGCCATGACTGGGTTAGTTGCACATTTGGGGTCCGTATGTGTGTATGTGTGTGTGTGTGTGTGCGCGCCTGCAGGCCTTTAGGGGTTGTGACCGGGCCAACACAGCCAGAAGGTCGGCTGTTTCTGTTCTCTGTGTGTGTGTGTGTGTGTGTGTGTGTGTGTGTGTGTGTGTGTGTGTGTATCTGGGGGGCTCTCTGGCAGGGGGACAGGAAGTGCATGAACTTTGACAGGAAGGAGAAAGTGAACGGGCAAAGGAGCGATGGAGGGAGGGAGCAAAAAGGGAGAGCGAGGTTAGAGAGAGGGTAACAGGGGCGAGATGATGGAGAGAGTGAAGGGAGGGAGCAGGGAAAAGAGAGCGAGGTTTAATGAGAGAGGAGGAACAAAAGAGGGATGAAGGAAGAGGAGAGGGGTTAAAAAAACGAGGGTCGAGAAAGAACGTTTAGAAATTACAACAACAAATTTCAGGCAGCCTTTGGTTTCAGATTAAATTCTAAAAAATCAAGAACTTTTTCTTGGCTGCTTCTCACGTCACATGGTGCTGAAGATGTGAGGGGAACTCTGATATTTGACGCTTTAATATTGTCGGATAAATCAAGCCCAACACCACAAATCACAAATTAGCCTCAAGGTCTTTGTGCAGCATGAAACACTCTGTATCCTGAGACCCTGAAAACAAACAAACAGTGGCTTCAAACCTTTTTTACCCCCAGTCACAGGCCGCACCTTTGTGTTTTGAGCAGTTCAATTAAACAGCTATTTTCCCTTCTTATAAGACAATTTTAGATTTCTGTAGAGGTAAAATTACAGAATTTCAGAAGGAAAAAATCTGAAAATAAACATCATTTTGTGTATCAGAATTTAGTTTTTTTTCCTTTTTCTTCAATTTTTGCTGCATCATTTTGTTTATTTTATTATTTGTTTGTTTCGTTTATTTAAATACCTCAGAGACATGAGACATAAAACCTGACTATGACGAGGTGAAATAAAGAGCAAATAAGAGAAGAAGACATGCTGGTGATGAGAAGAGGGAGGGTGAAGGTTGGCGGAGGTGTAACGGTGGCGTTTTAAAGGAAGGAGGGAAGAGAGGGGGAAGGAAAGGATGGAGGTTAAAAGGGGCAAAAACAGGAAGACAAGGGTGAAAACACAACACAGAGAGGCAGAGAGATTGGGGGGGGGGTAACTATAGGGGTGAGAGAGAGGAGAGGAGAAGGGAGGAAGAAAGGAGGGAAGAAGAGTAAAAGGATGAGAAGGGAAAGGAGTGTGTTGTGTCTCTGCAAGGTGCTGAAAGGTCTGACCTCCTCACCTCTGAGGTCACACACACACACACACACACACACACACACACACACACACACACACACTTGAATCACATCATTTCTTCACTCCTTCCCTCTGGCATTTGCTGCAACACTTTATTTTAGCATTGTTCCTTTTGGATTAGAAGGTGGAGAGCTGGACTGTTGGAAAAGGACACACACACACCTACACGTTCATACACACACACACACACACACACACACACACACACACACACACACACACACACACTATGGCTGAAGCTGTTTTATCCATTAAAGCGGTGTTGCAGCTGTTTGAATGACAGGCCATTGGGCAGAGAAGTGGATTTACCATTAGAAAAGAAAACCAGAATGTCCAGCACAGTTTGCTGTCCGGGGGGGGTGGGGGGGCAGGGGGGAGAAGGAGGGGGGGGGGGGGGTCCACTGGAAAATCACACACTGACACAGTCTGATTTTTAAATGTCGAGAATGACTTGTACTCACACTGGCACGCGCGTGTAACAGCTTCATTTATTTTTCTAGTAAACCTGGATGTGGAATCCCATTTGCAATCAAGACCTCCGCTCTCTCCACACTCCCCCCCCCCCCCCCCCCTCCTCTTTTCTTCTCCTCCATCCTCCATCCATTCTCTCTGCCTCCATCTCTCCTTCTCTGTTCCATGTTTAAAGTCCACGATTTTCCAGCCGTAGTCGAGCGGCGTCGGGGCTCCCGAACAATACTCCTTTGTTACACTCACACACGTACTACACGACGATGTGTGGACGGAGTTGTTATGAGTGTAAACACAGGCCCGAAGCCTGGCGTGCTGAGCTGAGGAGAGGTGGAGGGAAGAAAGCAGGAGCCAGTTCATCACACTGGTGAGACTGGGAGCTGCAGAGCAGGACAACTGGAACTGACTGGACGGCTTTGACACCCCAGATCTTCTTAAGTCCCGCTCACACCAGCATTTAAGATGGTGACATTTTGCAGCTAAATCAGTTCGTTTCGGTGGAATTGCCGCAATTGGTGTGCACAAATTTTTATATGTGCTTCAACCTTGATGAACATGCAAATTGAGTGAGGCTACTGCAGCTTATTATTATTATTATTATTATTATTATTTAACCTCCTCTGAGTAAAAAAGAAGTTTGCACAGTTAGGAGTCAATAGTACAAACACATGTTTTGAAAAAACCTGTGTGAACTCCTGTTAGCGACCAAGCTAATTAGCTTGCTAACTGGCACTCATCAAGTTTCCCCCTTGAGTAACACTTTATTGAATCAACAGTTCAGAGACAGAAGCTCTTTCTTTGTTTCTTCATTTCCTAATCATTCCTCTCATCAACTTTTAAATTTGATTAGTTTCACTCCTTCATATGTCTCCTCGTTTGTTCCTTTATTTCCATCCTTCTCTTTTCTGTCTGTGATTCTCTTCGTGCTCCGTGTTTTTCTTTTCCTGTCTTTTACTTTGTTTATGTTTTTTACTCTGCTTAGTCTGTATCTCTCTCTTCATATCTCTTTGCCTCCACCGTTTATGTGGTGTTGCAGAGGTCTCACACACACACACACACACACACACACACACACACACACACACACACACACACACACACACACACACACACACACACACACACACACACACACAGAGTCCTGTGTTTCACCTCTGTGAAACGCTCTCGGGGAGAGCGAGCTCTGTATGATAAAGAGTTCATGGCCGTTTGATGCAGCTCGTTTGTTGAATGCACATTGTTCAGCTGAGGGTCAAACTGGGAATTAAAGAATTAAAGAACAGTGTTTTGTCACCTCACAACATCAAACTGAACGTGGTTCCAAAACACTATCTACATCTCCACCAGTGAGATTCATATTTTTACCATCCACTTTATTGTTCTGTTTGCAACTTTGTGATGTGTTTTCAATGGACATTGTTCAACCAAGGGTGTAATTAAAAAATTAAAGAGTGCAGTTGAGCTTCAACACAAAACTCCCCTCTAGATCTTTATTTTTAACACACTGTACTTTGTTTTTTATTTCTTTTTTGAATAAGGATTGTTTCAGTTGCTTGTATCCGGGGCAAATGCAGAGTTTGCAAACACTGGTGTGTTTGTTAAATTCACGAAATGTGTCTGTTTTTATTCTTCTATCTAACTGTTGCCTATCATGGTGATAGCAGGTGGTGGTCACCACAGATGTGAGCATATGTCATCAACAGAGGCCGGGGGTCACCACTGTAGATGTGTGTGTGTGTGTATGTGTGTGTTGGTGGTGGTCTGGTTGGTATGTAGGGGGGCATGTCCTGCTATCAGTCTAGTCCTGCGCTCTTATCTCTGAGCTCACTAAGGACTGCGGGTCCTGGTCTGGGCCTTAGATAGGCGCACACACACACACACACACACACACACACAGACACACAGCAGAGAGGGAGAGCGATAAGAGGGAGAGCTTCTGTGTAATGGAAGGAAAAGATACGGAGCTGGTCAGGTTTAGAAAGCTGATTCTGTGAGTCTGTGTGTGGGTTTCAGTTTTGATGTCTGACCAGTGACGCCAACCACAACTGAACAGGAATCAGCTTTAGTCATCAAAGACACACACACACTGTTTGTCTCTCTCTCTCTCTCTTGCTCGCATGACCTTATCTCAACTTTTCCCATCATTCAGTGGTGGGTAACCTTTTGGTTTTACACCTCATTAGATTCATCCTCCCAGTAACCAGTTACTGCCTCAAACAGCCGTAAGCATTCTGCGCCGTGCAGCGTCGCAGTAAAATGATAATCCTGACAGCTGAACGTGTGCTACATGGAAATACAGGAAATAAAACTCAACAGCAACAATATTGTGACACAAATTTAAAACGATCTGGCTTCGGCTGGTCGTTGTTTTTTCTATAATTGCTGAGAGGGAGTCACGTAGAATTAATTTATGAAAACATTGGAAGAATTATTGATCCTGTACCAAGTTAAATCAGGTGAAAGAGGGAGAAAATAAAGCAGTTTTAGTTCAGCAGAGTTTTGTTTTCTTATGAAAGTCGTATTAATGATTAATAATCAGTTTTCTAACTGTCTATCTGTTTTATTTTGTGAAAAAGCCTTCACGTATTAGGAAGTTTAGTTTTGCATGTTTAGATAGAGTTTGATCATCACTGTCTCCAAATGAGGAAAATTAGATAAAAAATAAATGTAAAATATCATAACTCCAAAATGTGTCATCTATATGTGTTTATTTTGACTCCTCATTTACAGTTTAAGAATAATTTCTAATGATATTCAGTCAGAAAAGAAAAAGTTTTTCCACCTTTCATTCATTTCCACTTGATGTAAGTTCCGTTTCCCAGCATCAGCGCCGCCGTGCCTCCGCCCGTTCTGACCTCCAGTCTGTGTTTTAGGGTTTGCGTGACGTGTTTGAGAACTACTACAGAAAGCAGAGGAGGAAACAGGCTCGCCTCGTGCTGCAGCCCCACTCTAACATGGTATGACCCTGCACCGTCACTCTGTCTGTGTGTTTGTGTCTGCACTTTTATATCGACACACTCCTAACTGCACTTACTGTACCCTTCCCTGCACACACACACACACACTCCTTAATCCATTTAACTACTGTTATCGTTAGCAATACTGAACAAATGGAAGGTTTTATGCAATCTGAATTCCTGTCAAGTTGAATTTGATACATTTATTCCTGTAAATTTATTGTATCAGGCAAGTTAATTAGTATTTGGTGCTGATTGTTTATCTTTCTATATTTTTCTGCTTCGGTTGCATTCTTTATCCCATCCCTCCCTTTCCCTCCCATCTTTGTTCCGCCTTTCTTTTACTTTTCTAGCATGAAACCTTGGAGGGATACAGGCGGTACTTCAATCAGATTGTCGGGTAAGTCGTTCATCTCTCTCTCTCTCTTCCTTACGTCGATGTAACTGTTCTTCACCTCTTCATCTTCGTCACCGTTTCAGTTTTGCTCATCTGAAGACCCAACGTGTCAAAATGAAAACATATCTTACAAAAGGTATCATTTAATTTACAGCAAGGTTGTTTGTGTGGAAGCTGTTCCTGTCTGTATCCGTACATAACCGTCCATCCATCCATTTCCAGCCTTAATATTCCCTCTCTTCTATCATTCATCTTATCACCCATCCACTTTTCCTTGACTCTCGTCATTCAAATTAAAGATCTATCCATCCTTACTTCCATTATCATCTCTCTATCCACCTCTCCATCCATCATCCATCCACCCATCCATTGTAAACCTTCTGTGTAACTTGGCAGAAGAGCGAATAAGAGATGGTGAGAAAGAGAAGCTTCAAGCGAAAGCAAACATTCAACATTTAGCGACACCTCATTTCATTTCATTTCATTTCATTTGAGTGACTTCTGACCATTTGACATCTTTTCATCTTTTTTTTTATCCTTTCTTCCCACAACCACCCCTCCCCTCTTTTTACTTTCCCTCTCATCCATCGCTCCATCCTATTCTCTCCATTGTATTCACATAACTTTCTCTCCCTCACACACACACACACACACACACACAGTGGCGACGATTGATAGAGTGTGTGTGATGGTGGTTGGCTTATTGCTGTTATTCCTTGTGTCTGTCTGGCTGGAGTAGACGCTTCTATAAACACAGCTACGACTGGACAGTAACACACACTCACACACACTCACACACACACACACACACACACAAAGGCACACACACCCTCAGGCCTGTTATTCCCATCTGACATGTTGGAAAGTGCCATCCCATGTCTCTCATCAATTGCTGTTTCTTCCACTCTTTTTCTCATCCATCCACCCAATCACCCTTTCATCTGAACTCTTTGTAGAAGAGAAACAACACTTTCAGTAACTTATCTTCTCAATGACATCAAGAGAATTATTGATAAAGTTGCCTTGTGCATCTTTATTTTGGTGTTTCCGTCTGTTTAAACAGGCTGGTTCGATGAGAGATACTGTGTCAGTTTCTTTCACAGTAATACACAATGTTAAAACTCAAGATATTACATGTTATCTTTATAAGAACAAACAGAAGAAAACTGAGAAAGAGAAAATGGAGGAGAGGTATTAAAGAAAAGAAAATGTTAATATTAGTTGTTCAGCTCAGTGTCAGAAAATGATCAACATTTAGATAAATTTCAAGGAAAAATGGCAAAACATTCCCTTTTACCAGCTTCTCAAATGTCAGGATCTGCTGGGGTTTTTTTACATTTAGACAATTTGACAATGTGACTGTTGTAGACTGTTGGTCAGACAAAGTAAGTACTTTGTAAGGTAAGCAAAGATCTTGATACCAGTGGATCTTTGTTCCAACCCTAACCTTTGGTCGTAAACTCTGAGTGAGTGACCGAAAGAATGAGATGATGGATACAAGCGGCTGAAACGAGTTTCCTCCGTGTGACGGACGATGGGCTCAGCCTTAGAGATACTGTAGGGTGAGGAGCTCAGACATCCGGAGGGGAGCTCGGAGTAGAGTCTCTGCTCCTTCACGTCAAAAGGAGCCAGTTGAGGAGGCTCGGGCATCTGATTAGGATGCCTCCTTGGTGCCTTTCTTTTTGGAGGTGTTCTGGGTTCGTCCAACTGGGAGGAGAAACCCTTGGGTGCACCTGGGAACACCTCAGGATCCCCCAGGAGGAACTGGAAAGTGTTGCTGGATTGACCCTTTTTTTTATCTATAAATCACTAGCGTAGTAACGATAATCAAACACAGTGATAGACCAGAAGACTAACAGCCTCGGAGAGTATCCCTTTGCCGGGCTGAACTTTGAGGGAAAGTTGCTGCTCGGTTGTTCTTCGGCGCAGAACAGGTAGAGGGCGCCGTTCTTAAAGAACAGATGAACCCCTCTGAGTTTCTCACACAAGCGAATAGAGGAAAAAGTTAAAGAGATCAATTGAAAATTCCCTCCCAACATATTTATACTCTTCAGTAATGACAAATAGAGGATGAACCATGCTCAGACGGGCCACTAACTCGACCACAGTGCGGCTTATTGTGGTCTGGCGAAGCTCAGTGGCAGCAGTTTGAGTGAGACATGTTGTCAGAGGACAAAAAAACCAAAGTAACTCTGCAGGCGTTTCGATCCATTTCACACAGGCGTCGTTTCAAGAAAGCGGTACAACAACATGATTGACGAGTGCGGCCCCTCGCTGAGACATCAACAGCTTTTAACGCCTGATTGAGTGAATGCGCCATTTGCAGGGCTGTCATTGGTACTTGTAAATGATTTTCAAACTGGGTAAACACGGTGGCTTTTTCTGGAAAAGTTGAGAATACTGTCCACTGCAATATGAGGGTGGAAACAGGCTGTGCAGTTGCAGAATTATACTTTGATATTGATAGTTTTAATAGTTGTTTGCAAGGTTCACAAGTTTTGACAGCTGGCGCGTCACGTCATCACCTAATATATTATATTCTCCAGACAAATATTTCATCACAAAAGAGCTGAAGAGAAAAACTTCTACGGTTTCAGCTACGTCTTGTGGAAGTTACAAGATTTCCACAACGTATTTCATAAAAGAAATATTTTAGTTTTTCATTTTCTTGTCGAGGGTTAGATGAGATGATGGAAACCACTCTCATATCTTTCTATTAAATATGAAGTTACAGGCTGGGTGTGGTTAGCTTAGCTTAGCATAATGACTGGTAATGGGTGACCAGCTAGCGGGAGGTCATGTGCTGGAATGATGACGATAAGAGGAAGTCACTGCACCCAGACAGGAAATAGTTTATATCTTCATTTTTACACAAACTTTTTTGTGCAGATTAAATCAACTAGATATTACGTGTTAATTAGTGACCTTTGGAGGGTCTGGTTTGCAGATTTCTTTTGATTACTATCGGACAGAGTCAGGGTAGCTGTTTCCCCCTGTTTTCCAGTCTTTATGCTAAGCTAAGCTAACTGTCGCCTGGCTCTAGCTTCATATTTAACTGACAAACATGGGCGTTGTATCGATTTTCTCATCTAAATCAGAGCAAGAAAGTGAATATGTGTATTTCCAACAATCTTTTAAACTAATAAGATCATTTATTTCACACCCTGTCGTTCATCCACCCAGGTTCTTTGTTGTGGAGGATCACGTTCTTCACACCACGCAGGGTTTGGTCAACAGAGCGTACGTTGAGGAGCTTTGGGAGCTGGCGCTGTCCAAAATTGTCGCCGCCCTGAGGACACACTCGGTAAGACGAGTCACACACTCAAAAAAACACTGCATACATTTTTCTGCAAGTGCAGGATTCACTGTCAGCTGTGACAACAGCACTCGCTCTGACACTGTCCTCTGTTTGCTCAGTCGTACTGCGATGACCCTGACCTGGTGCTGGATCTGAAGAACCTTATTGTCCTTTTTGCTGATACACTGCAGGTACGTGTGTGCGATTAATTGTTCAGCTTAGACTGTGAAGGAAGGAAACCGTTGCCATCCATGCAGCCCTGGTCATCATCACGCCGTACTAGATGATTTGCTCGAGCTTTCTTTCCTTCCATTTTGATGTTTTTGTTCTGTTTGTTCAGGTATCTCTGCACATGCCAAGTGAGCTAT